AAGTGTGGGGGACTTTGATAACACTGAATTCGCACATGTTTTTACCCCTAATTTCTTGACTGTTTAGCTTGGGGATTATCATACTTGGCCTATTTCTTTCTAGGTTGTGTTCCTTTGTCACATTTCAGGTCCTAGCACGTAAAGTGAAGCATAGGAGCAAGTTTCAAGTGGATCGGAGATCAATTGGCGACTCGGGAGAAGAAACTTGGACATAACCCGAGGAAGAATGGATTTCTATCAAATTTTATGGACAAAAAATCATATAATCTATGCATGATAAGAAAGAGGACAAGACCAAGAGTGTTTGGGATCAAACGGCGACTAATTCGGAGTTCGGATGAGGGAGAAAGGACTGCAAGACAACAACTTATCTAAAGCTACGAGCTAGCCTTCAAAGTTACGGCCCAGGCCGTAACTTTGCCATTTTGGCCGTAACTCGGGGCCACGAGAGGCAGAATACATTCCAGAGGTTACACCTTGAAACCCAAAGGTTACAGACGTAACTTGGCTTCTGGGAGCTGTACAAATGCGTTTTAGCATTTTGAAGAGCGAGAGAGAGCTGGGTTTTGGATCTCAAACACCCAAGGGACGAATCCTAGAGAGAGAGGGCGACTTGGGAATATTTTTGGAGCTATTTTGGAGGATTTCTTCACCATTTAACCTCGGGAATCAAGCTTGGAGATGGAGTAACTTCCCGTCACTTAGGTTTTCAGGAGCCCTAGATTTGTATGCTAGGAAGAGTTGTATGAACTCAAATTCATGATTGATTGACGTTTTATATTCAGTTGAGGCATTGATTCAGAATTACTTGAGTCCTGATCAAATTCCTGTGATTCCGCCTTTAACCTATAATGATAGTTTCTACATAGGTTAATATAGTAACCTGAATTGGAAGTAGCAAATTTATTGCTTTAGTTGAGAAGTCGATTCACTACTGTGTACTGGAATTGAAACCAGTAGTGGAAGTTTGGTGTGTTATTGCCTCTGATAACTCTCCCTATCTCTCCGACTCTGCAATGAAGTTGGAAATTCTCCTCTGATGCTCTGAAATCACACATGCAAAGAAGAGCTTATTGCGAGTGTCAATTTCTTAGTATCCTTTGGAGTAGAGAGTAGAGACAATTTGAGAGTAATGACTCATATAAAACATGTTTTCCCCTCCCGCAATCTACCCGGTGGCCACCCACGAGCCTTTTCTCCCTTCCTCATCTTGATCGATGAAGCAAGTTGCGGTGTTGGAAACACAAGCAATGATGAAATCGAAATGATAACAGTAGTACAGTAAGCCGCTGCTCAACCGATCATGCTCGCAAACTGTCCACAAGTTCTTCGATTTCTCCTCAAATGACCTCAGGCCCACTGAATTTTTCACATATAGAAGAAGCAGATCAAAGTCAGAGATGGCTATAGGAAATATTTAGTGGATGATATATGCATCTTTCCATTTTCATTTTTATTTCCATAAACCACAATGTACGCATGAGTGCGACATGTTTACGTTGAAAACGAAAAAATTCCACATGCCCACCACATCTAATATATTTTGTTAAGTGATATTTGCCTTATTAACTCTCCTTCACTTCACCAAGGGCCCAATGCTCATGCAATTAATATATATAATATTTTATTTTTAATTATAATATTTTATTTTTATGGTTAGTCTTTTACTCATTTACTCTTGGTGCTATAATTTGAGGTTTTATCATTTTGTTTGTTGAATTAATCTATGTAGTTTCAGTTATTTCTTTGGGTTAGGTTTTGTATTTAGTTAGGCGTGGGTATGAAATCATACCATACGATCATGAATTGAATAAATGTAAAATGTTGTCATGTTTGACGGGGAAATGTTGACGTCTATAAATGAACATTGAAATCCAGTAATTAGGCGCAAACAATGTAAAGAAGATCATGAGCATCAACAAGCAAACTGGTGGAAACTTGATTATATATGTTTATTGAAATAGCGAACATTCGTCTTAGATAATTTTGAAATAAGTTTATTTGTAACATGTCATAAACTACGCAAGTCCATTCAATCCTCCAATTAAACTCACAAATCGAGATCAAATTAGAGCATGGAACTATAAAAGAATACAAATTAAAACAATATTTAAACCATTCAAATTCCACTATATGTGATAATAAGCTTTCCTTATGTGATTTCAATTTAAAGATATAAAAACTAATTTCATTTTTATTATATACTATAAATAATATAATATATTTTGAATAAAATGTTCCATGTCAATCAAATGGCAGATCAATATTAATAAAATTGCCACTGAACATGCAACAAATGTCATTTGCTTTGGTACATATAAGCCATTCATCTAACTTATTATAAATTTTTAATTAACAACTATGTATCAAACGAGTACATGGATATATATTCTTTAAAAAATACTTCAAAAAGACAAATGACAATTGATATTTTTCAAAAAGATAAAAAAAATTCAAAAAATTATGGGGCAATTGAAATCAAACAATAATCAAAGTATTGATTTATTCAAACTCAATCAAATATAACTCCATTGGATATTCCTCACTACCCGCTGCAAAGCGCGGGCCAATTATCTAGTATCTAATAAGATGGAAAAATGTAAGTGTAGTGAAGTGAAAGCATAAGGTTATTCAAGAACAAAGGTAGCCATGTGTCATTATCTCACTGCCATGTGTAACTCATGCATCTATATTGCAAATGAGAAACATAGTTTTAAGCACAACACAACATCTAGATTTTCGAAACGACCAGCCTAATATAAATCAAAGTTCGTCAGAAGAGGGACAACAATGGTCACTAAGAAGTAATTAGCAAATCTCTAGAACTCTATGGGGCATTTATTTCCCTGTGCCCCTATTCCTTTTTTTCGATTTTCTTTACTCCTGTTCTTGTGATGGTGAGAGTGTCCGTGTGGGGTTTGTTATGCCTCATTGCTTCCTCTATTCTGTGTCTTCCTTTCTTTGTGTTTCCCACTCTGGGATTCTTTCGTTATTCTTGGCTTATCTATGTTCCTATTATGCATAGATAGACATCCTATTTATTTCCAATAATCCACCAGGAAATATTATCTCTACCTGATTGGATGTAAACCGGCCTCTGAATAGATACCGTTGAACCAATGAGAGCTTCCTATGCTCTGGTTGTTCATTAAGAAAAGGTAGGCTTATCTACTTAGGGCTTCAATTTCACGGAGGTGAGGAACCTCGTTGAGAAGTATATTACTCTCCTCCTATCCACATGGTTTCGATTTTGCGGAGAAGAAGACGCGGGAATGGAGAAAGCCCAGGCGAGCGGAGACAGAAAGCATCTCATGCACCAACCCGCAACTGAACAAATCACACCCGGTGAACTGTGAAAGTTAGGCTTTTCGAGCGGCAGCTAACACTATGTGTTCATAGACGAAGGGGTAGACGAAATAGATAGAAACCTATCGTCATCACAACAAAGCCATGGAGAAGCTTGACGCTTCGATTCTCCAGCTATCTATCTCCAATCCCAGCTTGCCCAACCTCTAGGGATCACTGGGGCAAAAGGCAGTGGGATAGGCACCAGCCAATCGTCGAAGAGGATTTCTGGAAGGGGAAGAAGGGGAAAGTAGACCGAAACTTGGCTAGCCGTCAAGCCAATCGTCGAAGGGGCAAATAGTGTTGAGATGGAGTAGTTGCATATTGAGAATAGGCAAAAGGCACGCGGGTGCATAGAAGCATAAGGTGTACCCTTCCGTATTTGCCTAGACCCTTTAAGCTAAACTCGCCAATTAATATATCTAATTTCTCAATAATTGATCTAGACGATCATACATAAAAGTGATATTACATGTATCTTCTGAAAAGATATATATGAGAATATTTTTAGCAAAGTTTGTTTCACTCATGAACTTCATGAGATTTGTGAAACCAACAAAGTTTGTTAAAGCACTATCCAGTAGATTTGTCTGTTACACTATTACTTCCCACAACATAATGTTAAAAGTTATTGGAGCTCGAAGACTCCAAATTGTCAATAGATCTCTCTATGAGGGGTGGGGGGGGGACTTTATGCATTACAATCTTTTTCCTCTAACCAAGGTTTTTCCAACTAGGTTTCCTGGTAAGGTTTTCAATGAGGCGGTATACAAAAGTGTAACAGAAGAATCATGTACTATTTTCTCTTTCTCTAGGTTTTTATCCCAAATAAAATTTTCTAGTAAGATTTTAATGAGACATGTTCTTAACCGATGGACATCCAAGGGAGAGTATATAAATATATACATGTGGATGTCCTTCCTCCACCACTCATCCCTCTAACCACCACTCATCATTGAGATTATTGGAATAAAAGTAGTGTTACTCTTTCGTATTCATTTATGTTTCAATGATGTTGCTTATTTCCATTTTGCGGGATAATTATTCACAACACTGGGAAATTTGTATTTTCCTTTTTTTGGTCTTTATCTTGCACGTTCCTTGTATAGTAGACATTTTGAATTGGGGCAAGGTTGGGTCCTTGTCGCACAAGATTTGTTTTTCTTGGATATGTGTCTTCCACAGCTGATTCATTGGGTTGCTGATCTATACTATTACTGCGTTGTGCTGGTTTCCAATTGAGCTTCTTCGTTTATTTTCAGTTTCTGATCAGCTTTCATAGTTCTACCAGCTTTTAGATTTTGTCCACAGAGTGAGGAGCTTCTGTTTACCACGCTCTTGTGGCGGGTAACTCTTCTCTTCTGGGCCGTAAGTCTCCTTGTGTTAATAATAAATCAGGTCGTTCATGAAAAACTTAAGAAAATCTTGATATGCTTCTTTGGACCATAGGGCTGGCAAGTCTTTCAGGTTTGGACGGGAAACTGATCACCTGCCCTGCCCCATCAATAGCGGACTCTTTCCAAATGAACATTCGCTAACAAAAGAAAGCATATTTTATGATATTGGGGGAACAAACAACAAATGTACAGTAGCTTTCTTCCGCAAGTGCATCCATGTCCCAGGTTGAACACTGTCAGCAGCTGAAACAATCAAAACCTCTGATTATTAACAAAGAGTCCATTTCACATTGGAATTGAACCTCGAACAAAGCCTTATGTGTACATGTATTAATTACATCCTAACAAAAATATACAGCCTCAGTAGGCATCGGAATGAAAGGAAAATGAAAAACAAAACCAAGTTATGCTACAAACAAACAAAAACAGCCACTTACCAAAACAGGTATGTGGTTATATCTAACTACAGATTCAACCAGGTAAATCCTTCGTTCTTCTCATGTCAAAAAACAATGAGAACACCTAAACGTGAAAAGAAAATGTTGTTGATCTAACCATTTATCTCTCTCTTCTTTCTGGATGTAAGATATCCAGCTAGATTCCCTAAGAATCCTTGCTTCCTTCCTTTACCACGAGGAGAAACAACCTCTACAAGAGCAGCGGCATCACCAAGGCAATTGGGAGGAAGAGAGCTGCTTTCTTGCTCGCTGCTTTCATTAGGGACCACATCTCTCAACTGCCGAAGCAATTCCAATGCACTCACTTTAGCCTTGTCATTCCCATTTAACGAGATGCAACAAAGGCTAGGAATCACGCCTTCATCCATCAGCAAATGGCAGTACTGAACTCTCTGAGAGCATAGAGAGAGGAGGACAGTCACTGCATGCTCTTGTTCCTCGCTACTCCCGCTCTCCAGCAGTTGAGCGATTGAAGAGATGCAGCCATTGGTCTCAGCAACAGTAACCCGAGCCTCCTCCGTATCACACAAGTTCTTGAGCAGGAGGATGCAGTGTCTCGCAACACTGCTATCCTTAATGAAAGGAACCAGCTTCGGAATAAAACATTCAAGAGAAGCTAACTTGGAACAGACGTCACTGCTTGACGAGGACAAGTTGCACAAGATTCTGATCACCTGTTCCTGTAGTTCCTTCCTCTCACGGTCAAATATCTTGGGCAGAGAGACCATGGCACCAGATGCTTCGATTTTGGACCTGCAGTTTTGGTGGGCAGAGAGCGTGTCTAATATTGCGACAGTTTCTTCAATTACTTCACAGTCAAGGAAAGATGCCAGCAAACTGTATGCATCTTCCTGCAAGTGTGATACTCCGCTTCTGCATAGAACCAGGACAGTTTACTTTAGTAACGAAAAATGACAGAGAAAAGCATTATCTAATCTAAGGGGGAGAACTGGTTGGAAGGAAGTTCAGCTGGTAGAAATTACAGTGATTACACATTTCGACAGAAAATTGTACAAATTGTTTTGTCCGATGCATTTGTACATGACATTTTGACAGAAAACTAGAAAAAATACACGTGAGACTCGTTTTTGAAGACTGCAGAGTCAAATACTTCCTGATCCCAAGTACGTGAAATTTCAAATGCAGTCAGTATCAATAAAAACCAAAATATATTTGTTTAATAGCGGCACAAGTGAAAGCATGCTATCAACACAGTGGATATTTGCAGACAGTTAAAAGAATCTCCTTACCCAGCTTTGTCCACAAGTGCAAGAAGCAATATGGATCCGTTCTTCTGGGCTCGTAAATCACACCGTTGAAGAGCATTTCTCAAATGTATAACCAGCGGTTCAATAAAACTTCTCGATGACTCAGAAACCCAAGGTTGACAAATACAATTATTCAGGCGGCTATTTATATCCTGAACAGTCTTGTACTGGGAATCCCAAGGAAGCTCTGACAGCCGAGATAATATCTCCACATCCTTCTCACACATATTTGCATGATACTCACACTTATCAAGGCTGCCATGTTCAGGCATTAGCTCCGATCTTGAACCATTAAAGCTGTAACTAGCTTCTAAAGAACCTAGCGATACATTGCTGATATCCAGTTGAGCAATATCATTCCTAGAACTGCTTAAACTAACAATGGAATCAGAAGAAAGATCCAATGACTGCAATGGTTGTGTAGTTGGATCCATAACGGTGATTCCATAGTTTGCACACCACTTTGATATAAGGGTTTTCATACCGGTGTTTGGAGTCATAAAACGGTTCTCCAGCTTCAATTTCGTCCTAGGGCATGTGCTGTTGCCCTCATCAAACCACTTTTGTATCCACATCCTTTCATATGTTTGTCCAGAAGCAATGATGACAGGATCATACATCACTCTCCTTGATATAGGGCATCTAAACTCTTCAGGTGGTGCAGCAGCATCACTTGACAATATTTCAGGCTGTCGGCCATCTTTATCATGGTTTCCTAATCCTGGATTTATCCGTCGACTGTGCACAGAAGCATCGTTTGTATTATTAGGAATAAACGTTGTTCCTTCATGGTAACCATTTCTGTTTTTCACTGAGACCGAGTTCTTGTACTTCTTTAAGAGATACAAGAGGGTCTTTAAGATCTTTGTTTTGTTTGGGCTGCTCTCACCAACTGTGTTGAGAAGATTCTTGATAGATCTCACCTCAATTACTAAGTCCCTTTGGGATGTGATACGAAGCTTTGAGAGTGCAACTTGAAAAACACTACTTTGAGATTCTGCTGAATCTGTTCCATGACGAAGCAACTCGAGCATTACCTTCCCCGCCTCCTCTTCAGAGGGATCCATCACAAAGTTTGCTGCTTCAAGGTCATCGAGAATTGGAGAGAGCTGCCAAAAACAACAACAACAAAAAAAAAAAAGATTCCCACATCAACTCCACCAAATGGTGAAAAAACAAACCTCCCTATACAACCAAAGAACACATATTAACAAACCTCAGTAGCCAAGATCACAGGGAGCATCGTCTGAATCTGCCCCAAACTTTGTTCTAATTGCTTCCGCGATCTCATAAATTTGGCAACCATTGCCTCTCCGGTCATTGCCTAAAGTTGTTCAATTCCAATGCACCATAAGTAAATGGCAAATAGCTACAAACATCATGTAATGCAGCTAAAATGATATTTCAGTCAGCAATAGATGCATTCAGGGCAACTGACCACATTACAGAAAAGCAAGGGGAGATTAAATGGTTTACTACCAAGTATAGTTTGCTTGACCCAGAGCAATACTGAAGAAGTTGATTAGCCTTGTCGAGGGCAGAGCCCAATGAGACCAGTGCATGTATCCCAGATGAGCATCGAGGTCGGGAGGCTTCTATTTGTGGTTTTATTTGTGTAATTTTTTCTACCAGCTTCATCAACTGAGCACACATCAAATGATGAACCTGTAACTCAGCAAAGAGTGGACTAAGTTACTAGTTTCCTCAAAAAGAGTAGTAGTAGTAGTAGTAGTAGTAGTATTAATGTCTAGAACCAGAACCTCATGCTGCAGAAGAAAAGCCCTTAAAGTTGATAGAAGTAACCACTATGGTCTAACCCTGACCTAATCGCACCAGTATGGACAAAATCCAGATTAACCAGTGAGTAAAAAATGAAGATTAGTTAGTTAGTTAGTACCTTAAATGAATGGAATTGAAGAGGAACCTCTGCTTGCTCCGTGGCATCAGACCCCATTGAAACCAGGTGTGAGAAATGAATCTGTGAGTCAGTTAAACAAGCATCCAGTCAGTTAGTTCAAATCCATCCGTATCGAGGCTGAATTGAATTGGGGCATTATGATCAGACCGAGTCAAACCACAAGATTCTGAAGAAAATAGAAATGCTTGCCTTGGGATATGGAACCACAAGCTTACAGCAGCAGTGTGGTGGAAGATTGAAGACTAATTATCATTTTGCTTCCCCAAACCAACCAACCAACAACACGAATTGGCTCTTACCCAAATCCCCAATCAACGAAAACTTGACCAAACCTACCAGGAAACTGCAGTTGTCGCACGCCAAAGAGACTCAAGAGTTAGTTAAGACTGCAGCTTCCTGGTGTCTTCCACCCCATTCCGTACGGAAGCAGAGCCAAGAGGGCCAGGTACGTAACATAGCAACACAATTTGCCCAGCCAAACCCGCAGACTTTCTAACCATCAAAACGAATTTGCAACTGTACTGAGGTCGGAGACGGTAGGAAGATAGGATTTGAGGTGGACGTGGGTGTTTGATGCATCTGAATTACAATTTGGGGAAAGAATGGAGTTTATCAACAATTGCAAGTTGCAACCTCTCATTACCCACCCAGCAAAAAAAAACACAAGAGGGAACGGTAAGTAAATGAAAGTTCGTAGGAAAGGAAAGAGACCCACAGCCACAGGGACAGGGGTGAGGACTGAGGAGAAGCAGAAGAGAGAGCAGCAGAAACGAGGAGAGGAGGGCAGGGACCCATCAACTGGCTAATAAACAGAAAGCATGGGGCGGGCTAGGGCTACTACTACCAAGTCCCAGACCTCTGAATCTGATTACGACAAACCAACCAAGTGAAAGTCATTTTATAAATCTGCTTCTCTACTTTCTGGTGCTTTGCCCGAGTCCTCCCTCCAAAAGTCTCCTAGAGGAAAGGGACTTGAACAAGATAATTAGTTAGTTAGTTAGGCATATAAAAAAAAAAAAAAAAGTAACCTAGGAATTGTTCAACCTAGAACCAGAAGAAAAAGAAAGCCAGAAACAGGAGGACTGGACGGCGGTCCCTGTTTCCTTCACTCTTTCTTTGCTTGCTTGTGGATTGGAGATGAGATGATGACGTTCTCACAAACAAAACAAAACAAAACCAAACCAAACCAAACGAAAAGAAAAAAAGATAGCTGACGTTTGCCTTTTACTAAATGAATGGATGAATTACTAGTTGATCGAGTTTGTTTTTATCCGAATGGCCGCGCCGCCTTCATTGAACGTGTCGTTGGGGACAAACGACTAAGTTCGGACGGCCGTTTTTAAGTGAAACGAGATCCATGGCGCCGGCCATAGGGGAGTTAAAGTTAATGGGCGGATTTAACCCTAACGAACTTAAACGGGTAAATGACATATTTGGTCACTGAGATTACTAAATCGTGTCATATTTAGTCACTAGAAAATTTTAATATCAATTTTGGTCACTTGAATTACTGACACAGGTCACATTTGGTCACTCTTCTGTAGCCTCTGTCCAACTCCGGTCACTCGAATTATTGAAAAATGTCACATTTAGTCACTCGTATTACTGAAACATGTTACATTTAGTCACTCTCCCCAAAGTTTCCGTCCAACTACATTAATGGAGTTGGACGGAAACTGACGGGAGAGTGACTAAATTTGACCAGTTTCGGTAATTCGAGTGACCAAAATTGATATTAATTTTTTCTAGTGACTAAACATGACACAATTTAATAATCTCAGTGACCAAATGTGTCATTTACCCGAACTTAAACAAACAAAGTCGAGCTTAGCATCTTCCTTGTTTCTTTCTCTGTCTCCTCCATCCCTATATTAACCTTAAACAAACTAGCGCAGGACCCGGCCCGTTGGGCGGGTAAACTAAACATAAGCGTATCATTTGACAAACGTTGGAACATGAAGTCAAATGAAAACGAATTAATTTTTGGTCATTTTAAGTTAAAAATTGTTCGGTTAAAGTGTTTATAAGAGCAGCTGAAATTTAATAAGTGGGATGTAATCTTGGGAACATAATAATAAGCATCACATTGGTAATGTGTTGCATGAATGATATATGAGATAAACTTAATTGAAAACGTATAATTTGTTTTGTTAACTTACAGTTACAAATTGATAAGTTATAGTATTTATAAGGGAAGCTGAAATTAAATAATTGGGTTATAATCTTGCAAACATAATAATAAGATCTTGCAACCATAATAATAAGCACTACATTGGTAATGTGTTGCAAGAATGGTGCATGAGATGACCAGAAAAATGTAAGTAGAAATACCAAATTCGCCCAACTATGCATAATGTGTTTAGACCTCCACGAAAAGAGAAACAAATATGATATAAGCATTACATATAATTATTGAATGAAAAAGAAATAAATATAACTAATTGTCATTCATTACTTAATTAAACCATATAGGTGAATATTAGAGTTGTTTCCCATAATACATACATAATCAAACTTGAGGATGAAAGAAAATGTAGTATGTCCTTGAAGTTTATTCCCAATAGAGAGCATTCTTTTTTACAACACCGTTGGTAATGAATCTGAAGTTGCTTGATTTGAAATATATAGGACATGATACTTGATTTGAAATATATAGGATATGATGCTAAGTTGTCACTAATAGTTGGTTGGACAATGTATTGTCTACGAACTTCCCAAATTATTCTAAGATCGCAGACATGTCTAATAAAAATGTAGTAATTTTCATGCAACAGATATTTTTTCATGAAATAAATTTAATAAATGAAAATCATATTACATGAAATATATGTTAATCGTTAAGTTGATGAATGAGCGAGGGTATTAGTAGCATACATTTATTTTAAAAAGATAGAAATTGCAAAGTGTATTTTGGCTTGAATAAGATCGCATATTCTTATTGTCGCTAACTGACTTATGCTTTTTTGCAATAGATAGTTCAAAATGTGCATTATAACTTTTGTTTCCAGCATTGTAAAAGAATTGTTTGAACCAAGGATTGTAAAATCGTATAAAAAAATTCATTATTGAGTATTTTATACATAAATAATAATTTAACCGTGGTTTAACCATTTCATATTGCTAAATATCACCTACCAATTTAGCCTATGGTATGAGGTTTTTCTGGTCGAACTGGCGATATGATACGATTTTTCAATTCAAGCTTTAAATAAAAAACCACTAAAGTATTGAAATTATAAAATAACTCTTAAATCTCAGAAATTACAATGATCACATTAAGGAAAAAATCAATGAAACATTATATTTATTTTGGATTTTAAATTAAAATGCAAAAAATCAGTCAACTGTCATCTCCTAAATAATCAAAACTCAACATAAGAGGACCACCAATATCCACTAAGCAAAGTAGAGAGGTAATTATTCCACACAATCTCATTCCCTTCCCCCCCCCCCTCTTTTAAATGCGTCCTCTCTCTCTCCATTTGCCTTCCTCCTTTTTCCATTCGTTCTTCCATCTCTCTCTCTCTGAACTCTGTATCTCACCACTCTCCCTCTTTCTCTTCATATTTCTTCCCACCGCCTAGAATCGAGAGAAACCTAGAAACATCCCAATTCCTTCTCCAATTTTGCGTTAGAAATTCTTATTTTGCATTCACAATCGACAATGTGAATCATATCACCTGAATTCTGGCAAATAGATAGGCACTTATTCCTCGACAAAGCAAAGTTTTTTGATAGCTTGTGAATAAACTAATTACTAAAAGTCTAACAGAGATAAAAACATATTTATTCGCTTAGTGTATGTTTACAATTACAAAGATAAAAAAAAGTTTATATATGAGATTTATAGAATCAAGACCTAGATTTTAATTTTTAAGGGTTTGAAAATGGTACCAGATGCCAAACTCCGGCTAATTCAACGTTTAGATATAATTTTTTTACTCAAGGTATGTCATCCTTTGATTTTACCCAAGGAACGATAGAACCACCCATATATATGTGGTAATGACTGGTATACTCCAGGTGTTCTGACCGTTCGATGTATTTTCATGAGCTCCGACCAATCTCTACAGTCAAAAAATATTTTCTATTAAATGGAACTTTGGGTTTGAGTTTAGAGAATCGGGGCCCGGGGTTTATCTATTAGAAGTTAGGATATAGTTTCATATCCCAAACTCGGTTTGATTCATTGTATAGATAGAGATATCTCACTCAGAGTACCTGGAGTATGGTATTATACACCAAACTCGGTTTAATTCATGGTCTAGATAGAGATATCTCACTAAGAGTAAATGGAGTATATAATATTGTACCCTAACCTCTAATGGACAAACTTCGGCCGCGGTTCTCTAAACTCAAGCCCGAAGTTCAATATAATGGAAAATTATAATTGACTGTTGAGATTGTTCGGAGTTCAATATATATATATATATATATATATATATATATATATATATATATATATATATATATATATATATATATATATATATATATACATATATGGTTCAGGCTAGCGTATGCCCGGGCGTACGTTAGACTATTGTACGCCCGTTTGAGTTTTGCTATTTAGATTATGAATTAACCGGAGTTTTGGGCATGAAACAATACCCTAACCACTAATGGATAAACCCCAGTCCCTAGTTTTCTAACTCAAATCATGAGATTCGTTTAATCTTAAAATAAAAATCAACAATAATTTTGATTTGCCATATATATATATATATATATATGGCAAAGGCTAGCGTACGTCAGTCGTACGCTGTACACCTGTGTTCACACTTGGTTTTTGCACTTCAATATATTTCGCTGAATCAGAACCGTCGGTTATTATTTTTTAGATTAAATGAATCTCGTGGCTATATATATGGTAATGACTGTTATACTCTAGGAGTATAGTATACTCCAGGTGATCTGGCCGTTAGATGTACTTCTAAGAGCTTCGACCAATCACTATATATGGTAATGAATGGTATACTCCAGGTGTTCTAGCCGTTAGATGTGATTCAATGAGCTCCGATCAATCTCAATGGCCAATTATTGTTTTTTATTAATCTCACTAAGAGTACTTGGAGTATAGTGATGTATATCTATCTAGACCATGAATTAAACCAAGTTTAGGGTATGATACTATACCCTAACCTCTAATAGATAAACTCCATGCCCGATTCTCTAAACCCAAACCCAAAGTCAAATTTAATAAAAATAATTATTGACTGTTGAGATTGATCAAAACTCATTAAAATACATCTAACGGCTAAATCACCTAAAGTATCCTCGTTTTAGTTTTGTGCTTCTTTCTGCCTCCTAAAGTCATTGGGATTGATTGACTATTTTCAATCCCTAGCAACCGGTTAACTGTAACTATGTTGCTCAAAATATAAGTACACTACTCATTACCAACAATGAAAACATAAACAGGAGACTTCACCCATATCCTATCTATGATCTATGAGTTTACCTAAATTTAGATAAAACTATTCGTGGAGGATAATTATCATCCCTAGATATATAAGTAATGAAACTAAGGTATACCACTATACCTTGGTCTAACTAAATTCATAAAATATTTCTAGATCAGTCTAAATCAACAATCAAATATGAAATTTTGCTAATCTAATGAAACCATTTCTATGAACAAATAGACATTTTAGGACAATGATGAAAACAATGACATCCGACCTGAAAAACACATAAGATTTTATATATGAAGCCAAATAAAAAAAATTCCACTTTATTTTAAAATGACATACTTTTCGTTTCAATGGTTTGATTATATAATATAATAATAATTTTTTGTTTGATGAATGTAAGATTGATAAGAAATTCATAAAAATGATCCATAGAGTATTGAGCTTAGTGATTTTCAAATTAAATGTTTTGCAGATTAATTTTCTTATTTTGGTACAAATATCATATAATCTCACCCCTAGGTTCGATTGCCCGGGACGACGCTCGTTTCCCCTTCCTCACCTGTCTAGTACTATCTCTCGTGAACATGTCTCGATAAAAATAAATATTTATCATCTAGTATGTGCCCAATAAAACCATTTTT